TATAGTGTTGTCCCTATGATGCACTTTCCCCCGTCCTAAACTGAAAGCCTACCTCACTGTTTATCCTTTTTGGGCTCCCCTCAGTTACATGTTTTTTATTCCTACCTCATTCAGAGTTTTATAATTTTACATTCGGCCTGCCCATCCTGTTCGATTTTATATTGTGTTAATTAACTTTATTTATTTTATTTTGCTACTGTACGTATTTTATTCTGATGTAATTTTTGTTGCTACTGCATTTTGTATTTTATTTTGCTGTATTGTATCTTTGGGCTTGGCCTCATGTTAGCCGCCCCAAGTCCCCTTTGGGAAGATGGTGCCAGGGGTATAAATAAAGTTTATAATAATAATAATCATCATCATCATCATATTTGTAGCTTGGAGTAAAATTGTCTAGTTTACTTTTCTGAACTGTAGCATTAGAGTGATCTCCCAGGTGTCCATAGAATGAATCCATAATTGGAATCATGCTACTCTAACTGTTTAGTATGGAAACACCATGAATTGAGTGTAATAATAGTACTAAGCAAGTAAATGTAAGGGCAAGATAACAGCCTCAAAAAGTTAAAAAAAAGTACTAAATTGGATTTTTCTCTGCATTGGAGTTCATAAATACTTGGCTAAAAAGTATTACACACACACACACACAAGCGGCTTTTTAAAGTAACATTCACTGGGATTTATTTTCTGACATGGATAAGGGAGAAAGCCAGATACTTTCATTTGCCTCCTGTTTGGGTTGTAAAATAAAATGCTGTATGAAATGAAACAAAACACATCTTAATACTCCAGCGGGAATGACAGAAAGCAACTTAAGTATCCCTTGGCCTGCATTTGAATGAGATACATAAAAATCCTGAACCCTAAAAGTTCAAGATTTAAATTTTCTATTATTCTCATCTTCTCCATATCGCTACCACTATAAATTTGTTCCCTGTGGACCGTTTACCTTTTGCCTGGTGAAGAGGACTCAAATAATCAAAATTCACAAATGTTTTCAACTCCATTTGTTCATTGCGCCAAGGCCAAAAGGTCTTGTCTTTGTACAATTTTCTGATATTAACTCTAACCGTTCTCTTGTAAATTCCATCCACCACACCAAGTTATACTCCTTTTACTTTGTCATAAATACTTTTGCATGTTGGGGTTCGGAAGTTCACTGAGATGATATGGAACTGAATTTACTTTCCATTTTGTCTGCTAGTTTATACAAGATGTATAGCTGGTGCAGTCATATAAAAACCGTGCAGAATAGCAGTGTATTTGCACAACCATAGTTATCAATCAATGAATGTGAAATCTTACGACTTATTGGCTATATATACATAAAATATCTCTCACTGATAAACAACACAAAAGCCTTCTGAACTGTACATAATACTTTAGAAAAACCACATTCACTTGAAAACCTTTGAAAAATCTTTCTTACTTAAGTGTCATTTTAAAGTTGAATGTAAGTTGCATTGACTTGCCATCTGAATCCATTTTTAGTATATGTGCACCTTAAAAGTTTATTCTTGGTGACCTAATCCTAGTTTAAGATAATACAAGTCCTGCGTATTCATAATCTGATGGAGGGGAAGGGTAAAAATATTCTCCCAGGGATCCTTAGCATTATCTATCAGTTTGAAAGCCTCTAGTTTGCATGTTGGGCTATGACTCTGGTGACCAAGGTTCAAATCTCTGTTCAGCCATAATAATTCATTAGGTGACTCTGGGTAAATCACATTGTTGTCACAGTTGTAAAAGACCCCAAACTCTCCCTTATCAGACAGCAACTCCTGCGAAAAAAGGAGAACTGTTCTCCTATTCATGGGAGTGCATCATATATCTGAACTATTCTGAACTCCACCAACGATGGAATTGAACCAATCTTAGCACACAGACCTCCCATGACCAAAAGAAAATAATGGAAGGGTTTAGTGGGCACTGATCTTGAATTTTGGAGTTGTAGTTAACCTACATCCAGAGAGCACTGTGGACTCAAACAATGATGGGTCTGGACCAAACTTGGCACAAATACCCAATATGCCCAAATGTGAACACTTGTAGAGTTTGGGGAAAATAGACCTTGACATTTGGGAGTTGTAGTTACTGGGATTTATATTTCACCTTCAATCAAAGAGCATTCTAAACCCCACCAATGAGAGAAGTGGGCCAAACTTCCCACACAGAACTTCCATGCCATGAAGGGACTCCCTGGTGTGAGCCTCCCTCCAGCCTCGCATGCTCTCCCTTGCCCACACACGCGCACCACACTACCATGTGCCAGGCATGACTGCTCTCCCCTCCATGCTTGGAGTCTCAGAAGCAGCTCTCCCCTTGGCTGAGAGGCCAGACAATCACAGTGGAGGAGGACTTTTGGTGGGAGGATTTGCCGTCTGTTTCCAAAAAGGAAGAGAACGACAGGCGGAGAGATCTCCAGCCTTCTCTGACAAAGGGGTTCCTAAGACCATCAGATATATATGTTTTCTGATGGTCTTTGGCAACACCTCTTAAACCCCCTCATGACCCCCTCAGAGAAATGCTGCATTAGCTGATCAAGGATTTCAGCCTATAAAATTATGCAGGTGGAGATTTAAAAGTGTCACTAATGACCAATGATGTTATAAGAATTAGCAATCATGTCTGTGGCATAGTATTGCAGCCAATACAGCATCATCTGTCCTAATGGCTGTGCTAGCTAAGAATATATTACACTTTTTTCCAATCCAAGAAAAAGGGAAAAGATGGAGGGAGGAAACCCTACAGAAAATGCGATTTCCCATAATAGACATATGGAAAGACATTAGATTTCCCATCAACAAGTCATAACTGTGTTTTGCTTGTCCAATAAAATGCTTGTCTGGAAAGGCCCTTGAGGTTCAATTTAAAATCCTGACTCCAAACAGCTGGTCACAAAAGATTTAGCTTCAGGCATGATAGTAATTTTGTTTGGTGGGGAAATCTATTGGAAATTTGGCTTTTAAGTGATGGCAGGCGACCAAGACCTTTCTTTCCATGATCGGGTTTGAGCCATAAGTTATTGGACAAACATAAAACGTGCCCTGTCCTTTAACGCACTGTGATTTCTCCAAGCAACCTGCTTGCATTTTATGTGTTTTGTTGTGGAAAGGAGAGCCTAATGATTGCAATTTGCCATCCAAAACTTTATAGTTAAGCCTTGCAGAAATAATGTTCCTGCCAAAAAGCTTCCTGCCCAGGTGCTTAACCAATTAGCTCTTAAGAGGCCTGGCTATAAAAATGGGCCATGGCAAGTCTTCTGATGCACTGTATATAAGGTGACAGTTTGCAAAATCTAAGACGAAAATTTGTTTTCTTAAGCAGAAGTGTGTAAAATCCTAGGAGGCGCTTTGATTGCCTTGGCTAAAATGCTTATGTCATCTCATATTCCCCACCGATGCAGTGCGGCTTGAGCATTGCACATTTTTGTAAAGATTACAGAGATTACTCAAGGACACAAAAGCCCTCAAAGATAACTTACATGATTACCTTTTTATGCATTTTCAAAATATTTGGTATCAATGGACTAACCCTGAAAAGTTTCAAATTCCAGAAACCTCAATGATTTTATATACTCTACTAGGTCACAAAATATGTTGAAGAGTGGAGGAGTCAGTAGGCCTATAACTTTTACTGGTTTTGAAGAACTAGTTGAGTTTGGTGACCCAATAAGGAAAAAAAGTGATATAATAGTAGAATTGCTATGTTTACTATGGTTTCAATGTCAGAAGCTTCTATTTGGAAAAAAAATGCATATACAAATTAAGGCCTAAATCCAATTGTTAGTCCCATCAGTAGACCTACTGAATCAATGTGGAATTAGAAAATGAACACTTAGGTAAGTTCCATCAATTCAAGGAGTGTGCTCTACTTAATTTAGGTCTAAGAGTACAATCTGAGGCTTGCTAGCTCGGAAACCATTGTTTCCAGTGGGACTCAGAAGTCCATGACAGAACTCATACATTATGGGCTGCAGGTCCCGTTTCCAATCCTGATGTCTCTAGTTCAGTGGTTCCCAACCTTTTCTTTCTTTCTTTCTTTCTTTCTTTCTTTCTTTCTTTCTTTCTTTCTTTCTTTCTTTTTTTTTTTTGGCCAACATTAGTACCAAAAAGGTTACGAATCAGTTTTTAGTCAACTTTAGATTCAGTTTGGTTATTTGGAGTGCTGATTCAGAAAACTGCATTGGATAGACCACATTAGCTCTAGTTTCTGATATAGAAAATATGCCATCTAGTAGTCACCATCTGCTCACCTACAGAAAACCATATTTAATAAGCCTCAGCACTTTCCATTCTGGAAAGCATATTACTGCAAATGCATGTAGTTGACTAAGTTTCTGTGGGATAGCCTCTTGTGTGTGTATATGTTAAGGGAAAAACACCTAGTCAATTACAGTTCACAGTCAGGTAATTAGGACAATCAAGGATAACAACCTTGAACCACTCCCGGAATGGGGTATAATTTGGGGAATGTTTGTAATGGATTTTGGGATTTACTGAACCACTTGCTTCAGAACTTACTCAGAGTAAGTTCCTGGCTGAGAGCCTACAATGCTTGTCTCATTGCATTATTGAAGGAAGAAGAAATCTCCAAAGAAGATGCATGAATTTAATGCAAATAACTTTATGTGAGTTTGTTGCTCCAGTTGGACTGAGCTATTTTGAAACTGGAAGTTTTGTGTTTTTTGAAGCTGCTTGTTTAATTTTCTCCTTGACTCTGCTACTTAAGAGTAAATTTTGATTTTCCCATTTTCTTGGCTTGTATTTGCTCATTGTGGATGTACAAAAGGGCTGGGGAAGTCTGGACAGGACTACACACATTTTTGTTTGTTTTCACATAATCCATAACAAAGCAGTCATCCAGTTTCACCCAATATCAGTCTTTACAGGTTTAGATACCTGAACTTAGTGTACTACCTTTCATTTTCTTACAATGAGCCTCTTTTCCATTCACAGCAATATCCCCACTGTTTTTGTGATGTGTTTGCAGAAAGAAAGAGTACCAGAGAAATTTGATAGGAAGCCTCCTATAAATAATGATACAGAAACTCCAGCTTCTCTGAAGACAGAACTGGTCAGAGCAGAAAACCTGAAAAGCTGTGACAGTAAAGCATGTCCTCCAGTGCCGAACTCAGAAATGCCATACGCCATCCAGGAAGATGAAATTGCCATTACTCTGGAAAACCAAGAGATTTTACCAGAAGGTAACACTTGTCACTTCTCTTCCTAATCTGAGATCAATTCATGCATTATCAATCTTATGAGTGTACAATAACTGAGGTGAACAGGACTCTGAGCAAAAAGCAGGAAAATGTAGAGTTGAACTTGAAGAGCTGTTTCTCACAGTATATATAGTACATTATCATACATCTGTCCAACGCATCATCCAAAACATGAAGAATATCCATTAGCATTATCCTACCACTCCTCAGCTATAAGTGGTTTTAGTACTGTAACCAATCTTCTTAAAAATAATTTCAGTGGGACACTTCCATTTTTCACCTGCAGTGTATATAACTCATTCTGTGACTTTGAGCCATCCATTACTTTACATTTATACCAGAAATAGTTACCCATTCTTAGCCTTTTAAATAGACATATGCTGAACTAGCATGCCCTATATCTTTAATCTTATAAGCAAGTTGACTATTTCATTACTCTTTCTTCCAATTCTGTTACTTAGGAGTGGGCTGTTTCACCTCTGCTTCTTTATTTATGGTATCAGAAGCAAACTGAGGGTACAGTTGTAATGTATTTTTAAAAAACACAAACAAAGTTAAAACTTGGCATTATACCAAATGTCCTTTGACTGGAGCTGACCACTGGAGTACCTCTGGTGTTGCTATAAGAAGATCCTCCATTGTGCATGTGGCCAGGCTCAGACTGCATTGTAATAGGTGGTCTGTGGTTTGCTCTTCACACTCGCATGTTGTGGACTCCACTTTGTGGCCCCATTTCTTAAGGTTGGCTCTGCATCCTGTGGTGCCACAGAGCAGTCTGTTCAGTCCTTCCAAGTCACCCAGTCTTCTGTGTATCCGGGGGGAGTCTCTCATCTGGTATTAGCAATGGCTTGAGGTTCCAGGTTTTAGCCTGCCACTTTTGGACTCTCACTTGCGGATGTGTTCTTGCAAGTATCTCTGTAGATCTTAGAAAACTATTTTTTGATTTAAGACATTGGCATGCTGGCTGGTATCCAAACAGGGGGTGGTCTGGAGATGTCACTGCCTTGGTCGTTTCATTATTGGCTGCTACTTTCCAGCAGATGTCAGGTGGTGCAATACCAGCTAAACAGTGTAATTTCTCCAGTGGTGTACTGTGTAGACATCCTGTGTTAATGTGGCATGTCTCATTAAGAGCCACATCCACTGTTTTAGTGTGGTGAGATATGTTCCATACTGGGCATGCGTACTCAGCTGTAGAGTAGCAAAGCTCAAGGGCAGATGTCTTTGCTGTATCTGGTTGTGATCCCCAGTTTCTGCCAGTCAGCTTTCGTATGATACTGTTTCTAGCACCCTCTTTTTTGCTTGATATTCAAGCAGTGCTTATAATACTGCTAATTTTAGAGAGGCAGTGATATAAGTAGAAAAATATAAAAATCAAAGCCTAAATACCCTGAAGGAACAAGATCCAACCTGATGTTGGACTAATCAACGCCAGCCTGGTTGGTATTTGGATGGGGACTTCCAAGCAATACCAAATCCTATAAGTTATATAACAGAGGAAAGTACTTTCAAACCACATCAGAGCATCCTTGCCAAAGAAAATCCTGTGAAATTCATGGAGTTATCATAAGTTAAAAAGCAACCTGAAGACCTGTATTCATACATTTAGAAAAATAAGAGCAACAAATGTCATTAAAATGCAATGGTGTGGTTATGAGTTTGCAGTTGCTGGTACAACTTAGAGTTGGTTGAGTAGGACTCAGTCTTGCCAATTTACCTACCGCACTATCTAAAACAAATCCTCTAGAAACCATGGGTGGCTTCTGTGTTGGAGAGGACAGTGACTTGACTTCAGTTTTTACCCTGGACTTTAATTGTGCTCTCCAAGGTATAGCCTCTTTAAAGTTCAGCCTTAAGCTCAGAAGAGATTCACAGCTCAACTAAAATTGGAAGCTACCAAGTGCCACTTCTAGAAATAATGGGTTAGATCCACTGGCAGAATTATTCTGGAAAAAAATTTCACTCAAAATACTCTGATGCTGATAAAAAAATTTAAAAGAAGCCATATAATTATTCTGTCAGACCTTTTCTTTATTTTGCTTTCATTGCATTTACAACACTTTCAGTTACCCAGAGTAGACTTAGAGGTAGCAAGAGGAAGGGGGTGAGTAAAGGGAGGCTTCTATCCAATTCAGCCATCAGAAATGTTTGATGGGATCAAAAGCCTTCTGCTCATGGATCTATCTATCACAGAAGGATTTTGCTGGTTATTGTTATTTACATTTTCCAGAGAATATACTCTGATTTTTGTGCCACGTATAATTTCTGCATGAACTGATTATGTATGCTTTGATGTTTTGTTTAGTTTCCAAGTTTGCAGACAGAGAACTGGTACATTTTGAGCCTCCTAAATCTCCAGATACATTTTTTTCTGGTGAGCCACTCAGCCAGACACAACAAGATCCACAGGAAAATGAGGAAGATGTCAAGGATTTCACAGAAGTGAGAAAATCATATTCGTCAGAGAGGACACCTTCTGCTACAGGGAATAACCACCAAGCACAATATATGACTCGGTTAACACCAAGATCAGCAACTGAAAGCCGAGCTGTAGACCAAAGTCCTGTTGTTTTCCCTGACACAAAAGTCAAGGATCTTCTGAAAGCAATGGATGAAAATCTTTCAGCCCCAACATGGCAATATCCGGAGAAAGACAGCTCTGCCTTCTTGATAATGGAAACACCACAACTCTCGCCTCTACCACGACTGAGGCAAGTTGCTTTGAGGGACTCCATCACTAAGAGGGTGTCATGGGTAGGATTCACGCAACAGCAACCTAATGGCTCCTCTCCATTTTTTGCCAATGGTTCAAGGCCACCAGTTTTCCCCATGTCCCAGCAACAGACACTTATGGTGAGAAGCCTGAGGCAATCTAAAGAAAAGTCCAAAGAGCTTTTCAACAGTAGTAACATTAAGAGGAACTTTGTCCAGCTCAAACATATGCCTAAGGACACGGACCTGAATCTTCCAGTATTGTCTCCACCCTATCAAACAAGATCAGCAAAAAAACCAGAGATTTTAAGGTTAGATTTTGCATAGGGGAGTACATGCAAAGCAGGGTATTAAATAGAGAGGCATGGTCATATTATACATGTGCAAGACAATGAAGAGACAAACATCTTGGTGAGTGGTACCAAGCGGTAAGAATGTATCACAATTCAAATAAAATAGGTGAAGTTGGAGTTTAGCGATAACAGAGATTTAAGAAAAGATGGGCCGCATATAGACAAGCAATGGTATCACACATTGCAACTGGATAGTTAAATTCCACCTTGCCTCAAAGATATCACACAAGAGATCCATGATGAGGAAAATAAGTGGTCATGGCTGACAGTTTATTTTTCTGCTCTTTTTAAGAAAAACGTTTCTGAAACCTGTGCCAAACCATGTTTGGTTAGTTTTGTTTTAAATAAAGTTACACAGCCACTGGTATTTGAACTGCTTTGTTTTATTATGAGTGCTGTATTTAATAAGAGCAGGAATAGCATTTCTAGACTGCAAAACCCATAATCCCCAGCTAAAGTAAAGGTAAAGGTTTCTCCTGACATTAAGTCCAGTCATGTCTGACTCTGGGGGGTGGTGCTTATTTTCATTTCTAAGCCGAAGAGCCAGTGTTGTCCGTAGATGTCTCCAAGGTCATGTGGCTAGCATGATCGCATGGAGCGCCGTTACCTTCCCGCAGAAGCGGTACCTATTGATCTACTCACATTTGTATGTTTTCGAACTGCTAGGATGGCAGAAGCTGTGGGAGCTTATACCGCTCCCCGGTTTTGAACCATCAGTCTTTCAGTCAGCAAGTTCAGCAGCTCAGTGGTTTAACCTGCTGTGCCATCGGGTCCCCCCAACTAGCATGAGAATTTTTAATGTCATCATTCATGTTTCTTTTTTACCATCTCTCTCTTGCTCTCTCTCCTGAATCCACACTTCCACACGCACCAAGGGTCCTGGGCATGGAGCTCAATGCCCTCTGCACAAAATCTCAGTTCAGATAAGAAAAACTTGGCTTTACTTATAATTGGACATCATTAGACATTGGATTAATGCAGGGATGCCAACTTTCCTTAATTAGGGGAACTTTCACACAACACTATAATAGACATTTGATTTTCTCTCAACTGTCATGGCTTCAGCTGGGATATATAAATTAGGGAGATATTAAAGAATTCTAGATGCATCTTCCTAAGGTTTGGTTTTGATAGCCGGACAGTGAGGAAACCTAGTAGGAAGAAAACCAACTTATTCATAATGTTGTGCTGGAGAAGAGTGGATATTGTGTTCTACTAAAAAGGCAAATAAATGGGCAAGTCAATTCTGAACTCACAACAGAAGCCATGTTTAAACTGAGACTATCATGCTTTGACCATATCATTGGTGGGAGCGGGACACAATAATGTTTGGCAAAGTGGAATGCAGTAGAAAGAGAGGGGCACCTCACTATAGGTGGATACACTCAATCAAGGAAGCCATGGGCCTGAATTAGTAAGAACTGAGCAAGGTAATTGGTGACCAGGGCTCCTGGTTTCATCTCATCCATAGGGTTGGAATAAGTTTACATCTACTTGATAACAAATAGCAACAGCAAAGCTGCAGATCCATGCATTCCATAGATGGAGTCATGGAAGCTAAAGTGAAATGAAAGTGCTATAACTGAATAGTATGAAATTGTCCGAAGAAACTGCAAGTTGCTTCTAGTGTGAAAGAGTTGGCCATCTGCAAGGATATTGCTGAGGGGGTATGCAGATGTTTTACCATCCTATGGGAGGCTTCTCTCATGTCCCCACATGAGAAGCTGAAGCTGACAGATGGAACCTCACTCCACTCCCCAAATTCGAACCGCCAACCTTTCGGTCAACAGTCCTGGTGGCACAGGGCTTAACCATTTTTACTAGCAGAGGCTCCTAAGGACACTGCTGAATGAGCGCAACTAGCCTAATTTTACCCAGTGAGGCCCCTTCCACACAGCTAAATAAAATCCCACATTATCTGCTTTGAACTGGAATATATGGCAGTGTGAATTCAGATAACCCAGTTCAAAGCAGGTATTATGGGAATTTCTGCCTTGATATTCTGGTTCATATGGCTGTGTGGAAGGTCCTTTAGTTTCATAGTTTGTTAGAAGTATGAGTATCGCTTCTCGGCCTTTTGGCTAAAAACAAGTGTAGTATGAATCAGGATCTTTCAAACCTCACTCGAATGCCAAGCCCATCCATGAGATCAACAGTAAGGGAGTAGATTGATGTCCTAACCATTTGAAAGAAAATATGTGTTTCTTTTCCTTGGGGTCACTGCTGCTGCCTTCTTGGCCTGGACCTACTTTTCATGATTGCTAAAAAAAAAAAATAATTCAAACCCGCCCTCTGATTTTTTTTTTCTCTAGCCATGGGCCTATATGCTCCTTTTTATAATACAGACCAAGCCACACTGTTCTTTAAGCCATTAAAAATACACTACAGTTAATAATTTAGAAGTCAAGGAAATTTTGTTTAGGCTCTAAATAGCTTCTGAATAATTGAGAAGCTGTTCTGACACCAGATAGTTTTTTCAGTGTGGTGACATCCACCTTGTGTAAAATGGTGAAGAGAGATTGAAATGAATGATCCATCCCCCAAAGCGTCTTGTGTTACGGCTTATGGATACACGCTTAAAAGCCAATGAAAAAGAAGATGCCTGCTCATATTCACTATTAAAAGGGAACCAGCTGCCTACTTCTTTGGGTCTTAAACACAATACATTGAAAATCTATGACTAACCAAGAACAAAGTGTGAGTCATGGCAACATGAATTTCATTATATTTACTTTTAGAATTACCATTTTTTAAAAAAGGTCTGGAACTGAAATTCAAAAGGCAGTCAATGGAAATAAGGATACATATGAAGAAGGAAGATGTTAGTAATGTTGCCAGATTTCCTACAACAGTGGTACTCAGTGGTCATCCTTAGACAGATACTGTTTCCAGAAAACAAAGAAACTATTGTAACCAATGGGCAAAAATATGGTTACTTTTAGAGTTGTACCTTCTGTTCTTCAAGTTAGAGCAGTGTTTCCCAACCTATCTAAAGCCGTGACTCCTTAATACAGTTCCTCATGTTGCGGTGAGCCCCAACCATAAAATTATTTTCATTGCTAATTCAAAACTGTAATTTTGCTACTGTTATGAATCGTCATGTAAATATCTCATATGCAGGCTGTATTTTCATTCACTGGTCCAAATTTGACACAAATACCCGATACGCCCAAATTTGAATAATGGTGGGGTTGTGGGGGGTGGGGTTGATTTTGTCATTTGGGAGTTGTAGTTGCTGGGATTTATAGTTCACCTACAATCAAAGAGCATTCTGAACTCCACCAATGATGGAACTGAAACAAACTTGGCACACAGAACTCCCATGATCAAGAGAAAATACTGGAAGGGTTTGGTGGGCATTGATCTTGAGTTTTGGAGTTGCAGTTCACCTACCTCCAGAGAGCACTGTGGACTTGAACAATGATAGATATGGATCAAACTTGGCACAAATACACATTATGATCAAATGGGAACATATTTGAGGGAAATAGACCTTGCCATTTGGGAGTTGTAGTTGCTGGAAAATATAGTTCAACTAAAATCAAAGAGCATTCTGAACCCCACCAATGATAGAATTGGGCAAAATTTCCCACAAAGATCCCCCATGGCCAACAGATAATACTGTGTTTTCTTATGGTCTTTTATGACCCCTCTGACACCCCCCCTATGAGCCCCCAAGGGTCCTGACCCCCAGGTTGAGAAACACTGAGTTAGAGCAAAGCTAGGAAGTTGCTGGCTTTTTCATTGAAACTCCTAGACTCCTCCATACAGCATGGTGACTGCTAGAGTTTTGTGGAGCTGTGGTCAGAAAGAGTAACTTCCCTGACTTCTAGGGTGGTTGGGTAGGAAATGGCAAATCTTCCTGGATCAAGAAGCAAGTAGTTCACCTGATTCTAGCTGCTGAAAAGTAGAGTTATAAATATCAGGTGTTAGGAATCCTCTGTAAGTTCTTCCAAGACTTGCCTACAGTGAAGTAATGCAGCCAGGGCTCACAGGGCATGAACTCTGGGATATTTTGAGTAGTGGGAACAATATCATAGCCTGCCATACTGCTTTGGCTTGTTGAATCTCTCAGTGTAATGCAGAACATTTTGGAATAACAATAAGATCTATTAGCTTTACAAAATACCTGCTCTTGGTCATCAGTGAACACTGCAAGAACTGTTTATTGATATAAATTCTTGGCCTCTCCTTGGGAAACTGTCAAGAGGAACATGGCACTACAAAATTTACAGCTACATTATTTCCATCCCACTGTGTAGCATTTCCTAAAGGTATTGTCAAAGGCTTTCATGGCTGGAATCACTGGGTTGTTGTAAGTTTTTCAGGCTGTATGACCATGTTTCAGAAGCATTCTCTCCTGACATTTCGCCTACATCTCTGGCAGGCATCCTCAGCGCCTCACAACCTCTGAGGATGCCTGCCATAGATGCAGGTGAAACATCAGGAGAAAATGCTTCTGAAACATGGCCATGCAGCTCGATAAACATATGACGACCCATTTCCTGAAGGCTTTGTCAAATCTGCAGTTTTCCTTGTGTTCTTGTTTTGCCAAGAAGGAGGCGGCAGGCCACGAACCAGGAACAAGTGAGGACCATCTGACCCAGAATGTGAAAATGTTTGACACCAACATTCTCTGTAGGTGGCCACACCATGAACACTGTTACATTTTTAATGCTCTGTTAGCTGTACCATGTCAAAAGTTCAAAAAGGTGACATTGGTACATTGCACTTAAACTTAATCATTTGCTCTGCAGTTACACAGGTGGAAAACTCCTAACCCCTTCCAGGATGACAGCATTTAGATGAGCCCTAACTGTTCAACTGAACTGTTCACATGCAACGTGCAGACCATCTATTCAGGCTGAACCCAGATTGACCCTGCTGGATGGGCACTACTCAGGTGTTCCTTTGTCACCATAGCAGCTGGACATGAAGCTGCAGAGAGCTTGTGGGCACTGCTGGGCATCTTCGTTGACATCAGCCAAGGTACCCATGTGACCTGTTTCACTTCCTGTTGGCTTTGTATACTTGCTGGACAGCTTCAGGACTGGTGGCTAACTATTCTATTGCTTTTCCCTTCATCCTACTTGATATCGTATGAATGATCTGGATTGAATTAACTTCCCGACAGCTCCCACATTCTGGTTCCTGGGTCACTGGCTGACTGGAGAAAAAGACAGGCAGAGGTCCTGTTGTAGCAGAGATCTCTCATGGGAACGGGAGGGAACACTGATCAGTTACTTC